AGCGGTTTATATGTGGTATCACAAACCAGTTATTAACAAAGAGCTGCTCCAGAGCTTGCCTAACTTGAAGATAGTTGCAAGCTCTGGAGTGGGAATAGATCACCTGGACCTGAACCTCCTCTCCAGCTACGGTGTGAAACTGTCCAACACTCCATTCGTTGTCTCCACTGACACTGCAGACCTGGGGATGGCCTTGATGCTGGCGTCTTCCAGGAGACTTGTGGAAGGTAATAACTGAAATGGTTTTAGTCTTTTGTTTTTTTTTTTTTATAGGAAAGGTGGCTTTTCAAAACACACAGTTAGGAGGTGTGTGCTGGTGCAAAGGTAAGCTTAGAAGTGGAAACACAGGAAAAAGCTAAGACAAATCTGTCACGTTGACAATAATTAGCACACAGTGCTAATTTCCAAACAGGCATATCAGCAAGGTAGATGTGTTCCTTTTTCGGATAGCCCTAAATTCAGGCCTCTTCTCCCTCAGCCCATAGCCACTTACTCATTCTACTAATTCACCTCAGTCTTGCTTTGCAAGTTTTAATAAAAGGGGATTAAAAGGAGGTATTTTCAAGGAGGCTTGAAAGCCGTCTCTGCCAAACTGACATGTATCTGAGTCATTACGAACAAGCTGTCCAGAAATCTGTCCACCATCTTCTGTGTTTCTTTTTCCTGCCAACTTTGGCGTATCTGCAAGGTGGCTGGGAATCCTATTTTGGCCTTACTGAAAATCTTGACAATACTACAGCTGATTCATCAGTTGCACCATTGGGTGTTTACAGCGTAGGTGGCATCCATGGCGCTGCCAGTTTCGTTAGCCCTGCTGATGAACCACCATCAGTAAGAAGCTGTGTTTACCGAGGTGCATTTTAGTGGCACAATAATCTGTGCTGCAGGCAGGGAGAGAGGATGGGCAGGTGTCTGATGTACACCGAAGGGAGGGAGGCTGCTGCTTTGGCCTCATCTTGCCAAAGAGGGGCTGGATATGTTTCTGTCCTAAGCAAGAAAGCCATGTCAGATGTCACCTTGACAGTTCAGCATTACTCACTACTGTGTACAGCTTTGGAGTCCTCAACACAGAAAGGACATGGACCAGCTGGAACAGGTGCAGCGGAGGGCCACGAAGATGATCAGAGGGATGGAGCACCTCTCCTATGAAGACAGGCTGAGGGAGCGGGGATTGTTCAGCCTGGAGAAGAGAAAGCTCCGGGGAGACCTTATAGCGGTCTTTCAATACCTGAAGGGTGCCTGTAGAAGAGCTGGGGAGGGACTCTTTGCCAGGAAGGGTAATGATAGGACAAGGGGAAACGGTTTTAAATTGGAAGAAAAAAGATTCAGATTAGATCTCAGGAAGAAATTTTTTACTATGAGGGTGGTGAGACACTGGAACAGGTTGCCCAGAGAAGCTGTGGCTGCCCCATCCCTGGAGGGGTTCAAGGCCAGGCTGGATGGGGCCTTGAGCAACCTGGTCTGGTGGGAGGTGTCCCTGCCCATGGCAGGGGGGTTGGAATTAGATGATCCTTGAGGTCCCTTCCAACCCAAACCATTCTATGATTCTATTATGCTACGGCTCCTCTGCTTCTGCCTTATCTTAGAATAAAAAATAAGTGGAAAAAAAGTAACCAGATGCCAGGAACCAGGCAACCCTTTACATGGCATTTTTCCTTCTTTTCCCTCTGCCAAGGCCATGAGATGGCAGTCTCCCCCGACACGGAGTATTTCCCAGCTGACTGGCTGGGGGCTGAGCTTTCCGGGGCCACCCTGGGGATCGTGGGGATGGGCACCATTGGCTACAAAGTGGCCGAGAGAGCCAAAGCCTTCGAAATGAAGATTTTGTACCACAACAGGAATCAGAGGTAAAGCCGTTTGCAGCTCCGTGGAAAGTCTACGTCACAACCAGAAGCTGTGACACAAATGTATTTGTTTTATTATTTATTCAGTTCACTTACAGGATCCTCAATTCTTACTTTCCACCCTCACAGGTATATTACAGGTATATTTGTGGATGCCCCCATCCCTGGAGGTGTTCAAGGCCAGGCTGGATGGGGCTTGGAGCAACCTGGTCTGGTGGGAGGTGTCCCTGCCCAGGGCAGGGGGGTTGGAACTCAATCTTTAAGGTCCCATCCAACCCAACCCATTCTATGGTTCATGATTCAGTGATTTCTGCACATTTGCATAGAGTGCATTTGGTATTGCAGGAAGCAGCTTAACATTTTTCTTTCCTGAGTTTTAGTCAGCTGCTTGGCAGTATAGAGTGAAGAAAACAATTGAGAAACCTTTTCTCTAATGATGATTTGACCTTTTTCTTGTTGCTTACTACTGCAAGTTTGATTTTGGGTTCTTCCCCTCAGAAACAAGGAAGAGGAAAGTGCTGTGGGAGCTATTTACTGCAAGAAGATAGATGATTTGCTCCACCAGTCTGATTTTGTGCTGCTGTCTGTGAACCTGACTCCACAGACACACAAACTGATTGGGAAGAGAGAGCTGGAGCTGATGAAACCCACCGCTACTCTCATTAATATCAGCAGAGGTAAGGCGCAGCACAAACAACACTGCATTATGGTTTCCTGGCATAAAAAGTCCTCAGAAAACCCAACCTGTCACTCCGAAGTTTTCAGTAAATTCTCTACTAGATTATTTAGAAGTCTGTGGTCGTAACTCAGCAAAACATTTAAGCATTTCCGCAATTATGAGCAAGTAGATCTCTAAAACGTTAGTGAGCTTGGAGTGTCAGGAGCCCACGTATATTTGTATAATCTCCTACTTAAGCTTTCTATTAATTTAGGGCAGTGTTGTTGCTAACGTACATCAAGGTGGCACAGCCCACCCTAAAGTCTGGCCCTGTACTTTGTTTTATGGTGTACGTACTGCCTTTCAAAATTCCTGGCTGTCCAACTCTGATGCACCCATCCAAGCTTTCTCCCCCGGCTTGACCACTCTCTCTCTCTGCTGCCACTTCTGCGTTGTGACCATCACTAGCCCTGCTGTTTGCCTGACCACTGTCCCCAAAAGGATGGTTGAGAAAGCAGTAATGAGTATGAAAACAAGGGTATCCTTCTTACTGTAACCCAGGTCTGGTTGTGGATCAGGATGCTTTGGTGGAAGCCCTTCAGAACAAAGTTATTAAGGCAGCTGCTCTGGATGTGACCTATCCTGAACCTTTGCCAAGGTAGGACATGTATTTAAGTTAAATATAAATGAGTGTGCATGTGTGTGGTTCAAACTAAGTATGGGTTTGTGAGCAGGTGAGAAGTTACATGATTTTACTAGTAGGAGTACATGATGTATGTGCACTAGTCCTGCTGAAAGGATGTCCCCAACCCTTCCATCCTAGCCAAATGAAATTCACAGTGACTCATTTGGAGGACTCGTTGCATAAAAAACCACAAGCTAGGCAGGAGTTTCAGCTCCTCCGAGTATGCGTGCATCGTGCAATTAGTTTTTATTTTTAATTATTAAGTATTTCCCTGGCTGCCTTCAGGTGACGAAATAACAGATTCTCTGTGAATGACTAGCTCAGTGTTTTCGTTTCCTTTCCCAGGGATCACCCTTTGTTAAAGCTGAAGAATGTTATAATAACTCCTCACATTGGAAGTGCCACCAAAAAGACACGCCGCCTTATGATGGAAAACATGGTGGAAAGCATACAGGCAGGTCTTACAGGCCTTCCTATTCCCAATGAAGTATCACTGTAAAATGGCCTGCATTCAATGGGAATGCCTTTAGAGTTCATCCTGGCGTGAGGAAACATTAATTTGATCACTCTTCGTGTAATTAACCCATGTGTGCTATACAGATAAAATGTGCAACTATAATAAATGGGTTTAATTTATTTAAATAACCAGAAGCGATTCTGTGTGGAAAACTGCAGTATTTTGTCATGAATGTGCATCTTGCGTCAGTGTATTTAATTTTGCTCGCCTCCTCTTAAAATTGCCCATCAACCTAACACCGAACTGCAGGACACCTCAATGATATTTGAGGCCGCAGTTGGTGCATTGGATGGGCTGTTCCTGATGCTGCAGGAAAAGGAGTAGCTCTTTCGTGGAAATAGGAACCCTGTTTATTTTTCACTTCCAAGAGAACTCACTGGTCCAGACAAAAGCGCCTGTGCATAGGTATCTCTGCACGGGCCTTGCCTGTCTCTGTGTAAGAGTAGTCCACCAGCTGGGGGTGTTGATGGACTAGAAGCTCAACATAAGCCAGCAATGTGCACTCACAGCCCAGAAAACCAACCCCATCCTGGGCTGCATCAAAAGCAGCGTGGCCAGCAGGGTGAGGGAGGTGATTCTGCCCCTCTACTCTGCTCTTGGTGGGACCCCACCTGGAGCACTCTGTCCAGCTCTGGAGGACACAGAGAACAACATAAGAAGGACATGGACCCATTGGAGTGAGTCGAGAGGAGGGTGATGGAGATGACCAGAGGGCTGGAGCACCTCTCCTGTGAAGACAGGCTGAGAGTTGGGGTTGTTCAGCCTGGAGAAGAGAAGGCTCCTTATAGAAGAAGGAGACCTTATAGCCCCTCCCAGTACCTAAAGGGGGCCTACAGGAGAAATGGGGAGGTTCTCTAACAGGGAGTGTAGTGATAGGACGAGAAGTGATGGTTTTAAACTGAAAAAGAGGAGATTTAGATTAGATATGAAGAAGAAATTCTTTCCTGTGAGGGTGGTGAGACACTGGCCCAGGTTGCCCAGAGAAGCTGTGGCTGCCCCATCCCTGGAGGGGTTCAAGGCCAGGCTGGATGGGGCTTTGAGCAACCTGGTCTGGTGGGAGGTGTCCCTGCCCAGGGCAGGGGGGCTGGAACTGGATGATCTTTAAGGTCCCTTCAAACTCTAACCGTTCTATGCTTCTCTGATCCCCCTGATGCACTTTAACCAGTTCAGGCCCTGAGGCTCCCCGGTTTCACCTCACGCTTGTACCGGAGGGCAGTCCTCCCCGCACTCCCTCCCTCCCGGGGCCTCCGCGGCCCTCACCGCCGCCTCCGCCGGGCCGCCGCGCCGCGAGGGGGAGCCGCCGCCGCCGCCGTTACCGCCGCGGGGAGCTCCGAGCCTCCCGGGCCGTGCCGGGCGGCTGGGGCAGCATGTGGGGCTCCCGGGCGGCGGCGGCGGTACCGCGGTGGTGCCGGGCCCTGCGCAGCTCCGCCGCCCTGAGCGGCTCCAGGAACCTGCTGAGGAAAATGATGCGTAAAAAAAAGTAAGGTTGAGGGGGCGCCGGGGCCGGGCCTTGGTGCGGGGTGAGGCGGCCGGGCTCGGGCCTGGCTGCGGGGGGAGGCGGTCGGGCCCGGGCCTTGGTGCGGGGTGAGGCGGCCGGGCCCGGTCGGGCCTGTCCCGCCTGTGTGGGCCGGCTGAGGCCTGGCCACCGCCATACGCCGGGGGTGGGCTGTGGGCCCCGGGCGCGGTTGTGTGAGGGGGATCCCACCTCCGGTGGCCGTGGGGCTCCGGTAACGCAGCTTCCCTGCTGTTGTTCTCCCCCACACCCCTTCCTCCAGGCGCAGCCCCCGCCGCGGGTGGGAGGCACGGCTCCCCACACCCATGGGGTGAAAGCATCTCGGGTGTGGACACCCACCCGAGCGTTATGTTGGGCCTCCTGTTCTCCTTCCACAAGGAACCCCTTTTCTTTCTCTCAGCTGCTGAGAGGTAACAGCTCCTTTCCTTTTCTTCTCTCCAAAAGGAAGAAGTTTTGGTACGACAGCCCGACCCTGGGGTCTACAATGGTAAGGCGCTGGGTTTATCTCTGCCAGAAGGCACAGGGTGGTGCTTCTGTTGTTGTGTCTAACTTGGGGAAACGCGTTTTCCGGTGGAGAAATAGCAGAATTTTTGTGAATGAACACTAGGGCCCATGCCAGGATTGCTGTCAAGAGAAGCTGTTTATCCTCTTCCATCCTGATCTTTCATCCGTGCCAGCACCAAGGCTCTCCTGCACGCTCTTGAGCCCGTAGCAGAGAACTGATCCAGATTAAGGCATCTATATACCAGCCTGGTTTTATGGAAAACAAGTTTTTGAAGTTTGTTTTTCGAGCGAGCAGTGCTTTACAGTTAATGCATGCTGTATTTTATTTAGGAAATGGATTCATTGAGCTGTATAACTCGCTACAAAATAATGAACTAAGAAATCTTGGCTGTAATACATGAAGGTTAAAGATTTTGTGAACATAAATGTTCGTTATTGAAACAGCTGATATGTAAGACCTATATAAATCCATCACAGCTGCAATAATGGCATTCTAAGAACATACTTAGTAGAGTGCACAAAACTTTATATAATTGCCTAATCATAGAATCATCTAAGTTGGAAGGGACGTTATTGAAACAGCTGATATGTAAGACCTATATAAATCCATCACAGCTGCAATAATGGCATTCTAAGAACATACTTAGTAGAGTGCACAAAACTTTATATAATTGCCTAATCATAGAATCATCTAAGTTGGAAGGGACCTTTCAGATCATCTAGTCCAACCATCAACCTAACTCTGACAAAAAACCATCACTAAACCGTGTCACTAAGCACTACTGATTAATGAATTTTGTGTTTGGTTTTTTTTTTTTTTTTTAAAGATGTACAAACCAACCAAGTTGGACTCTGTAATGAAAGTCGAGCAGACAAAAACTAGGAAAGAAGACAGCATACGCTGCAGGGTCTTGAACGGTCTTATTCACAAAGCTGTGGCAGAGATGTTGACCACCTGTGAAGTTAATCAGGAACTTTATGATCTCAAGCTGGAAATCTGCAAGGCAAGTGCCCAAGCTACAGCGATGTGTTGAGCCGCTCTGACTGCACCTCGAGGTCGGCACGGCACGCTAAAGGAGCTCCCCTGGGTGTTGTGATGGATGGGTGCAGGAGGAATTTTACTGCATTGCTTCTGATGTGGCAGAGCACAGCAAGATGAGGCTCTGGATTCACCTGGTACACTAGGAGAACTTTGCCACTGCTGTCCCTGGCTTAGCAGACCTCTGCCACTATAATGCAAATGCGACTTAGGCCAACTCAGTGGTGATTCTCCTGGTATGACTGTCTTTTTTGTTACTCAGGCAGGTACTGTTTGCCTTGTGCTTTCAGAAGGAGGAGCCTGGTCTTACTGACATAAGTGTATCTTTCAAGGAGTCTTTTCTTTTTGCAGTTGTGAAAGAGCTGATACCTCCTTGTGTCCCTCAACAGCATCCTTACACAGGCAGAAGACCTAAGTGGGGCATGATCTTAGTTCAGAAAAAGGCAAGCCTAAGAAAATGGCATTGGCAGGCAAGGTTCCAGAAAGAATTGGAATTGGAACAGTATGTAATTGTAGCTAGTGTTCTCATAATTTGTGGGTTTGAAAGGGATAATGAAGCTCTGATTCAGGAACTAAGTCAGTCTCCATATTCTAGTTCGTTATCTGTAGTTTTGTCTTCTACGTTTGCTGTTTTGTTAGGATTAAATAATACCAGAATTCATTCTGTCTTCAGGCAAGTGACTGAAATGACATGGGTAAGATGAATCTTTTGGCTCTATATGTGCAGTACCCTTCATATAGACCTTCTCTCTCTCTTGAGGGCTTTGAGGATTGCTTGTCTAACTTGGGTGGCATGTCTGCACATAAAAATACTGGCTGATGCAGGCAAGCCATGGCACTGTCAGGAGGCATTGCTCTAAGTGAAACAACTTTAAACATGAGAGATGGAAAGAAAGAGCCTTCTTCCAAATATAGTGCAGATTTTATGATAACTGTGTAGTGCCTAGTGCTTGGTCTGCACTGGGTTGTGGCTGAGACTCAGTCCTGGTTTATTCTTGAGCTGATTCTGGTCTGATATCATTACTTCGGTTATCAAAAGAAATCTAGTAGGCTTTTTGCAATCCGTCAGAATTTGGGGTTTTTTTGGTATCAAGAGTTAAAATCGTATAATAGTAATGCAGATAAGAATCATGCTTCAGGCCTGATACATGAAACTTCTCTCCACTCAATAACATTACTCATGTGATGATGAAGAAATGGCTTGTGTTAGATAGCGTTGTTTATGTCCTTACATTAGACTCAGTGTGGGAACTGGGGAGAGCTGATCCTGCAGTAGAAGCAGCTGGTGAATGATCATATTTTTTTTTTTTTTTTCGAGCAGTGGATTTCCTGAAGGAGGAGTTATTTGGTGGTGGAAAAAAATCAGTATCTACTTTGGTTTTTGGGGTCAGTCTGTTCTGCTCTAGGAAAGAGTAGCACTGTCAACAGCAGACTGTGATGGGAATACTCTGATGGAGTTGTCTTTTTCTGCTGACATATGTAGACACCTGTTCGTTTAAGAATTGGTTTCTGCAAGAATTGGTCTCTGAACTGTGCCTTCCAATGGGTAGTTCATGCTTTCTCCTCCCTCTTCCTCGGCTCCTTCCTTTGGTTGAGCATGATAGGTTGTCAGCAGTTTGCTGAGTGTACTCTCACAGTGAGAACTTGTAAGATGCTGCTGGATGCCATGAATGACAAGTTACAGAAATCTTTCAGAATCCAGTTTGTGTTTCAGAGGTTTATTCTTCAGGAAGACTGTCGGCCTGTCTCGTGTGTGTTATGGTCCCTGCACACTGTATGATTTCAATTGTATGCATGACAGCTGTGAATATTGCCTGTTGGTGAGCTGGAGGGTCCCTGCAGGCTTTAGAGATGGAGAGACTTTACGTTACAGTGCAGTGGAAGGTGTCCTCTCTTCTCTCAATCTCAAAACCAAACTCTGGGTGACAACAAACCAGGCGGTGTCACAGGTCCTTCTTTAGCAGAAACTTACACTTTCAACTTTATTCCAAAACAGCATGCCATAAATTGTCATAGAATCATAGAATCATTTAGGTTGGAAAAGACCCTTGGGATCATCGAGTCCAACCATCAACCCTACTCTACAAAGTTCTCCCCTACACCATATCCCCCAACACCACATCTAAACAACTCTTAAACACATCCAAGGATGGTGACTCAACCACCTCCCTGGGCAGCCTATTCCAGTGTCCGACCACTCTGTCATTGTGGACTATTTGTGATGGTAGCACCATTACATTGATTAAACATAGTGCTGTCTGTGTTGACAGACTTCTCCTCCTTTTAATTTCAGTTGGAAGGGAGATTAGGCAGTGACTTGCCTAAATTAAAAGTCTTTTCAGGTACTGAATGTAAATCTTATTTGGCGTTAAACTCTATAAAGAAACCATGTAATTTACGGTTCTTAAGAGCAGAGATGGGAGAAGAGATTCTCCAAAGAGTTTCCATATCCAGTTTGTGTCACTGTATGCTTACTCATGAATTAGAGACTTTGTTGTATATGAAGTGTGTGTATATATATATACATATAAAATTTTAAAGAAACATTTGTCCTTTTGCAGGTGTCCCTGGCATCAAACTTTTCAGCGTGTCGTGTGTACTGGAATCCTGCTGCTACTATGGAGAAAGAAAGTTATGTTGAAAGTGTGCTGCGGAAGAGTGCTCCTCGTATACGGTACTGCTGTGGGGTAAAGAGTTAGACCACTTCATAAATTCATAGCCACGTACTTGTACTCTTTCTTAAGTTATTTCTAACAATCTGTGTCTGATTTAGGTTTTTAGATACTTGGAGTCAGAGCATCTCCTGTGATGAGCCTCACAGGGAAGGGTGGCTGTGTTAGCCCAGCTGTGTGTTTTCCTGCTGAAGCACAGCTGGCTCATTTGGCTTCTGTGCTTTCCTAGGATGGGACTGGGCTGAGCAGAAAGAAAGAGGAGTCTGGATGCAGTCTCACTTTGTTGTACTAATGATGGTGGGCTGGATGTGCTGTGCAAGGCAGTAGGCCAGAGTAGGATGCTGCACAAGAGGACTGGCAATTACAAGATCTCCTTAGCAGATTCACTGGGCAATTCTGATCACTAGGGACAATTTGGACCACCAGAAGGGATGACTGATATTACAGAAGTTCTTCACAATACTGATACTAAAACATAAATGTGGGGATGCTACCGTGTACTGTGATGCTTTAACCCATTTTTGGCAGAGGGTCCAATGAGTTTTTAGGATATCGCAGAGATTTTTGTCTCTCTTTCTTTCCTTGCCTTACCCTCTGCTATCCAGCAGCTTCCACTCTCTGAGGAGGAGTGTTCCTGGCTGCAAAGAAGACAAGGGGAGCCATGTCAGTCCTTCCTGCAGCTAGCATGTAGGTCTGCTTGTCTTGCCCTGCTGTGAGGGCTCTATCCTCAGCTACTCTCACCCCTACAGTGGGAATAAGGAACCTGAATGAAGTAGGGAAAGACCTGCACCAGCTTGTGCATATAGGAGACAAATCTAATATCGTCAGTACTCAGTGGGATTTGCAGCTAGTGTTTTTTTCTGTGATGTTACACTGTCAGAGTTGGGATTATTTGGAGAATTTGGGTATTGCTTAGCACTAACCTGAAAGAACCATCAGATTGTCAGTTTTGCAAACCATATCCTGAAACTTGCAGTACTGCTGGAATTAATTTAACATATTTTATCTGTCCCGAGTTGCTGTACTGTTACTCACACTGGTAAATGCTGTATTTTTGCCAGGTATCTTCTGATGAGTCAGCAGATTATAGGAAATGTACCTCCAATAGTATTTGTAAAAGACAAAGAAGCTGCAGCTGTAAAAGAGGTAATTGTAATCTGTGTCTCAGTGTGCAAACAATGATATACAAACATGGTGACTTAGCATACCATAATACTTAGGAATACAGAGAGAGCTGATAATTTGATTGCTCTACCAATTTGCATTAAATAACAGAATTTGTCTATACCCTTTCCTTTTCGTGTACCAACGTGTTTTAGCAAAGAGTCCTGAGTAAGACTGATGTTTACATACAGTGTAAAAAACTCCTTGTAGCTATTCCCTTATGAACTTTTTTGGATGCTACTATTAACATTTCTGAAGTGAAGTTTTCACAGAAGTTTGTAGGCTAATAAAGAAATCCTAAAAAATGAAATTAAAATTTTAAGGAATAATGCAGACTAGGCAGTTAATCTCTTGCCTGGTATACATGATTATTGAAATGAGGTCTGAGGAGCTGTATTCCGCATTTTAAATGTTATGTGGCTTTAAAATTCCATTGAATCTAATCACTGATATTTATTTTTATTTTTTCACCCCAACCTTTTTCCATCTGTGAGTTGTTTAAATGTTTGTAGGGAAGTGCAGATCTTTGCATGGAAGGTGTAAGCTCACTCATATGATTTCTTTTTTCATGTGTAAAATTATCTGTCTGTCAAGGTGTCGATAGTTTTAATTAGTTGAAGCGTTGCTAGAATAACGATGTTTTATGGGAATTTGCTGTCATTAAGACTGTGAAGTGAGATGTGTTAAATAGTGAGCTTTCTAGAAGAGAGAGATGACACCAGTGAGTGGAATTTCATTAAAAAGGTCTCCTCAAGCTGTTGATGTGAATGGAAAGAACATGAGTTGAAAACAGCGTGTTCATATTTCTGTGCCCTGAAGTGCCTTATTCTTAGATGTGTTACTATTACAACCAATTACTGTTAGTGACTTATGGGCTCATGTGGTGTGTATTAGCAGAGCTGGAAGGGATAACAAGAACTTCAGACTGTCTAGAAATGCAGTGAACTGCTTGAACTTCCTGTGGTCAGAAAAATTTGGAGTTTCATGCCAATATTCTGACCCACAGTGCAAATGTTTTTCACCTGCATTAGCGTCAACAAAAAGCACGAGAATAGAAATGAACTAAACACGCCTGAAAGATGTTTATATTCATTATTGTGCTCCCCTCTAATCAACACAAAAAAATTATGCAACAAGTAGTGAGTGATTATGGAAGCACTTTGTCATTACTATTATTAACATACCTAGATGGAGCTACAAATATCTACTCCTGCAGGTCCTGCTTTTCAGGTCTGTTATTGTGGAACCTGTTCCACTAATCACTGTTTCTCAAACTTTGTTAAATGACCACTTACTCTTTTTGAAGAAGAAAACCCCTGAACTACCTTACCTTGAAGTTCAGTGCACAAGCACCAAGAGTTAACCACGTAAGACAAGTAAAAACCCTCCTTTTATAACTTCTGTCAGTGAATGCTCTGGGAACCACTAAGGTGGATCATCTTTTCACACTTCGTGGATCATCAGATTCAAGTAATCCACATATTTGAATAACAGAGCTTGAAATAACATGGCTGAACCTGATTTTTTAGTATTGGAAGACAGGGAAGGAGCATAAAGGTGGATCATCTTTTCACACTCTGTGGATCATCAGATTCAAGTAATCCATGTATTCAAATAACAGGGCTTGAAGTAACATGGCTGAACCTGACTTTTTAGTATTGGAAGACAGGGAAGGAGCATCCAATCCAACTCCTAGAATAATATGCTGAATTAGAAGGGAAGCAATGTAAAGAAAAGTGGGAATAAAAATTCCAAATGAGATAAAATTTTCACAACTAGGTACAGTTTCGAAGCACTGAATATACTAGATTTGTAGCTTTTACTGGTTAGAAGCCACGTTAGAAGGGAGTTTGTAACTCAATATTTACACATAATAGAAATACAAGCTTGCAGAAAGGGGGAAGACGTGAGAAAAAAATCTCAGTGTAAGGGTGTTATGAAAAAAGGATTTGCAAGACTGAAGTAAGACCAAATAAAACAAAAATTACATATGTTACACAATCCCTAGCCAACTGTTCAGAATGTACATGTGGCAAAAAAGCCTTGTAGGAATCCCTGGATCACTTATGCTATTTGACACAAACTTCCCAGGCAAGAAGTATAATCAGTTTCATACAAATGGAGGAAGGGCTATTTTGAAATGGTTTTGCTAAATATTCCAAACATGTAGAAAATAAAATATTTGCTGTTAAATACTTGTCTGTTTCTTGTGTAGGTGTGAGCAAAGTGAATTTAATACAAGACCTTCAATATGTGTTGTTTTCATGTCTTTACAGATTGAGGAATTATTGTCAAGTGCTGATTTTGGACCTCCAGAAGAAGTAGAAACATCTCAAAATGATTCTAGGTGGGTTTTGTGATTAAGAATTTTACAAGAGTCCATTTTCACCTCTCTTGGCCAACTTGAATTGGGTATTATTTGACATGACAGAAAGGGTATCCACCAGTCTGATTTTGTGCTGCTGTCTGTGAACCTGACTCCACAGACACACAAACTGATTGGGAAGAGAGAGCTGGAGCTGATGAAACCCACCGCTACTCTCATTAATATCAGCAGAGGTAAGGCGCAGCACAAACAACACTGCATTATGGTTTCCTGGCATAAAAAGTCCTCAGAAAACCCAACCTGTCACTCCGAAGTTTTCAGTAAATTCTCTACTAGATTATTTAGAAGTCTGTGGTCGTAACTCAGCAAAACATTTAAGCATTTCCGCAATTATGAGCAAGTAGATCTCTAAAACGTTAGTGAGCTTGGAGTGTCAGGAGCCCACGTATATTTGTATAATCTCCTACTTAAGCTTTCTATTAATTTAGGGCAGTGTTGTTGCTAACGTACATCAAGGTGGCACAGCCCACCCTAAAGTCTGGCCCTGTACTTTGTTTTATGGTGTACGTACTGCCTTTCAAAATTCCTGGCTGTCCAACTCTGATGCACCCATCCAAGCTTTCTCCCCCGGCTTGACCACTCTCTCTCTCTGCTGCCACTTCTGCGTTGTGACCATCACTAGCCCTGCTGTTTGCCTGACCACTGTCCCCAAAAGGATGGTTGAGAAAGCAGTAATGAGTATGAAAACAAGGATATCCTTCTTACTGTAACCCAGGTCTGGTTGTGGATCAGGATGCTTTGGTGGAAGCCCTTCAGAACAAAGTTATTAAGGCAGCTGCTCTGGATGTGACCTATCCTGAACCTTTGCCAAGGTAGGACATGTATTTAAGTTAAATATAAATGAGTGTGCATGTGTGTGGTTCAAACTAAGTATGGGTTTGTGAGCAGGTGAGAAGTTACATGATTTTACTAGTAGGAGTACATGATGTATGTGCACTAGTCCTGCTGAAAGGATGTCCCCAACCCTTCCATCCTAGCCAAATGAAATTCACAGTGACTCATTTGGAGGACTCGTTGCATAAAAAACCACAAGCTAGGCAGGAGTTTCAGCTCCTCCGAGTATGCGTGCATCGTGCAATTAGTTTTTATTTTTAATTATTAAGTATTTCCCTGGCTGCCTTCAGGTGACGAAATAACAGATTCTCTGTGAGTGACTAGCTCAGTGTTTTCTTTTCCTTTCCCAGGGATCACCCTTTGTTAAAGCTGAAGAATGTTATAATAACTCCTCACATTGGAAGTGCCACCAAAAAGACACGCCGCCTTATGATGGAAAACATGGTGGAAAGCATACAGGCAGGTCTTACAGGCCTTCCTATTCCCAATGAAGTATCACTGTAAAATGGCCTGCATTCAATGGGAATGCCTTTAGAGTTCATCCTGGCGTGAGGAAACATTAATTTGATCACTCTTCGTGTAATTAACCCATGTGTGCTATACAGATAAAATGTGCAACTATAATAAATGGGTTTAATTTATTTAAATAACCAGAAGCGATTCTGTGTGGAAAACTGCAGTATTTTGTCATGAATGTGCATCTTGCGTCAGTGTATTTAATTTTGCTCGCCTCCTCTTAAAATTGCCCATCAACCTAACACCGAACTGCAGGACACCTCAATGATATTTGAGGCCGCAGTTGGTGCATTGGATGGGCTGTTCCTGATGCTGCAGGAAAAGGAGTAGCTCTTTCGTGGAAATAGGAACCCTGTTTATTTTTCACTTCCAAGAGAACTCACTGGTCCAGACAAAAGCGCCTGTGCATAGGTATCTCTGCACGGGCCTTGCCTGTCTCTGTGTAAGAGTAGTCCACCAGCTGGGGGTGTTGATGGACTAGAAGCTCAACATAAGCCAGCAATGTGCACTCACAGCCCAGAAAACCAACCCCATCCTGGGCTGCATCAAAAGCAGCGTGGCCAGCAGGGTGAGGGAGGTGATTCTGCCCCTCTACTCTGCTCTTGGTGGGACCCCACCTGGAGCACTCTGTCCAGCTCTGGAGGACACAGAGAACAACATAAGAAGGACATGGACCCATTGGAGTGAGTCGAGAGGAGGGTGATGGAGATGACCAGAGGGCTGGAGCACCTCTCCTGTGAAGACAGGCTGAGAGTTGGGGTTGTTCAGCCTGGAGAAGAGAAGGCTCCTTATAGAAGAAGGAGACCTTATAGCCCCTCCCAGTACCTAAAGGGGGCCTACAGGAGAAATGGGGAGGTTCTCTAACAGGGAGTGTAGTGATAGGACGAGAAGTGATGGTTTTAAACTGAAAAAGAGGAGATTTAGATTAGATATGAAGAAGAAATTCTTTCCTGTGAGGGTGGTGAGACACTGGCCCAGGTTGCCCAGAGAAGCTGTGGCTGCCCCATCCCTGGAGGGGTTCAAGGCCAGGCTGGATGGGGCTTGGAGCAACCTGGTCTGGTGGGAGGTGTCCCTGCCCAGGGCAGGGGGGCTGGAACTGGATGATCTTTAAGGTCCCTTCAAACTCTAACCGTTCTATGCTTCTCTGATCCCCCTGATGCACTTTAACCAGTTCAGGCCCTGAGGCTCCCCGGTTTCACCTCACGCTTGTACCGGAGGGCAGTCCTCCCCGCACTCCCTCCCTCCCGGGGCCTCCGCGGCCCTCACCGCCGCCTCCGCCGGGCCGCCGCGCCGCGAGGGGGAGCCGCCGCCGCCGCCGTTACCGCCGCGGGGAGCTCCGAGCCTCCCGGGCCGTGCCGGGCGGCTGGGGCAGCATGTGGGGCTCCCGGGCGGCGGCGGCGGTACCGCGGTGGTGCCGGGCCCTGCGCAGCTCCGCCGCCCTGAGCGGCTCCAGGAACCTGCTGAGGAAAATGATGCGTAAAAAAAAGTAAGGTTGAGGGGGCGCCGGGGCCGGGCCTTGGTGCGGGGTGAGGCGGCCGGGCTCGGGCCTGGCTGCGGGGGGAGGCGGTCGGGCCCGGGCCTTGGTGCGGGGTGAGGCGGCCGGGCCCGGTCGGGCCTGTCCCGCCTGTGTGGGCCGGCTGAGGCCTGGCCACCGCCATACGCCGGGGGTGGGCTGTGGGCCCCGGGCGCGGTTGTGTGAGGGGGATCCCACCTCCGGTGGCCGTGGGGCTCCGGTAACGCAGCTTCCCTGCTGTTGTTCTCCCCCACACCCCTTCCTCCAGGCGCCGCCCCCGCCGCGGGTGGGAGGCACGGCTCCCCACACCCATGGGGTGAAAGCATCTCGGGTGTGGACACCCACCCGAGCGTTATGTTGGGCCTCCTGTTCTCCTTCCACAAGGAACCCCTTTTCTTTCTCTCAGCTGCTGAGAGGTAACAGCTCCTTTCCTTTTCTTCTCTCCAAAAGGAAGAAGTTTTGGTACGACAGCCCGACCCTGGGGTCTACAATGGTAAGGCGCTGGGTTTATCTCTGCCAGAAGGCACAGGGTGGTGCTTCTGTTGTTGTGTCTAACTTGGGGAAACGCGTTTTCCGGTGGAGAAATAGCAGAATTTTTGTGAATGAACACTAGGGCCCATGCCAGGATTGCTGTCAAGAGAAGCTGTTTATCCTCTTCCATCCTGATCTTTCATCCGTGCCAGCACCAAGGCTCTCCTGCACGCTCTTGAGCCCGTAGCAGAGAACTGATCCAGATTAAGGCATCTATATACCAGCCTGGTTTTATGGAAAACAAATTTTTGAAGTTTGTTTTTCGAGCGAGCAGTGCTTTACAGTTAATGCATGCTGTATTTTATTTAGGAAATGGATTTATTGAGCTGTATAACTGGCTACAAAATAATGAACTAAGAAATCTTGGCTGTAATACATGAAGGTTAAAGATTTTGTGAACATAAATGTTCTTTATTGAAACAGCTGATATGTAAGCTGATATATAAATCCATCACAGCTGCAATAATGGCATTCTAAGAACATACTTAGTAGAGTGCACAAAACTTTATATAATTGCCTAATCATAGAATCATCTAAGTTGGAAGGGACCTTTCAGATCATCTAGTCCAACCATCAACCTAACTCTGACAAAAAACCATCACTAAACCGTGTCACTAAGCACTACTGATTAATGAATTTTGTTTTTTGTTTTTTTTTTTTTTTTTAAAGATGTACAAACCAACCAAGTTGGACTCTGTAATGAAAGTCGAGCAGACAAAAACTAGGAAAGAAGACAGCATACGCTGCAGGGTCTTGAACGGTCTTATTCACAAAGCTGTGGCAGAGATGTTGACCACCTGTGAAGTTAATCAGGAACTTTATGATCTCAAGCTGGAAATCTGCAAGGCAAGTGCCCGAGCTACAGCGATGTGTTGAGCCGCTCTGACTGCGCCTGGAGGTCGGCACGGCACGCTAAAGGAGCTCCCCTGGGTGTTGTGATGGATGGGTGCAGGAGGAATTTTACTGCATTGCTTCTGATGTGGCAGAGCACAGCAAGATGAGGCTCTGGATTCACCTGGTACACTAGGAGAACTTTGCCACTGCTGTCCCTGGCTTAGCAGACCTCTGCCACTATAATGCAAATGCGACTTAGGCCAACTCAGTGGTGATTCTCCTGGTATGACTGTCTTTTTTGTTACTCAGGCAGGTACTGTTTGCCTTGTGCTTTCAGAAGGAGGAGCCTGGTCTTACTGACATAAGTGTATCTTTCAAGGAGTCTTTTCTTTTTGCAGTTGTGAAAGAGCTGATACCTCCTTGTGTCCCTCAACAGCATCCTTACACAGGCAGAAGACCTAAGTGGGGCATGATCTTAGTTCAGAAAAAGGCAAGCCTAAGAAAATGGCATTGGCAGGCAAGGTTCCAGAAAGAATTGGAATTGGAACAGTATGTAATTGTAGCTAGTGTTCTCATAATTTGTGGGTTTGAAAGGGATAATGAAGCTCTGATTCAGGAACTAAGTCAGTCTCCATATTCTAGTTCGTTATCTGTAGTTTTGTCTTCTACGTTTGCTGTTTTGTTAGGATTAAATAATACCAGAATTCATTCTGTCTTCAGGCAAGTGACTGAAATGACATGGGTAAGATGAATCTTTTGGCTCTATATGTGCAGTACCCTTCATATAGACCTTCTCTCTCTCTTGAGGGCTTTGAGGATTGCTTGTCTAACTTGGGTGGCATGTCTGCACATAAAAATACTGGCTGATGCAGGCAAGCCATGGCACTGTCAGGAGGCATTGCTCTAAGTGAAACAACTTTAAACATGAGAGATGGAAAGAAAGAGCCTTCTTCCAAATATAGTGCAGATTTTATGATAACTGTGTAGTGCCTAGTGCTTGGTCTGCACTGGGTTGTGGCTGAGACTCAGTCCTGGTTTATTCTTGAGCTGATTCTGGTCTGATATCATTACTTCGGTTATCAAAAGAAATCTAGTAGGCTTTTTGCAATCCGTCAGAATTTGGGGTTTTTTTGGTATCAAGAGTTAAAATCGTATAATAGTAATGCAGATAAGAATCATGCTTCAGGCCTGATACATGAAACTTCTCTCCACTCAATAACATTACTCATGTGATGATGAAGAAATGGCTTGTGTTAGATAGCGTTGTTTATGTCCTTACATTAGACTCAGTGTGGGAACTGGGGAGAGCTGATCCTGCAGTAGAAGCAGCTGGTGAATGATCATATTTTTTTTTTTTTAACGAGCAGTGGATTTCCTGAAGGAGGAGTTATTTGGTGGTGGAAAAAAATCAGTATCTACTTTGGTTTTTGGGGTCAGTCTGTTCTGCTCTAGGAAAGAGTAGCACTGTCAACAGCAGACTGTGATGGGAATACTCTGATGGAGTTGTCTTTTTCTGCTGACATATGTAGACACCTGTTCGTTTAAGAATTGGTTTCTGCAAGAATTGGTCTCTGAACTGTGCCTTCCAATGGGTAGTTCATGCTTTCTCCTCCCTCTTCCTCGGCTCCTTCCTTTGGTTGAGCATGATAGGTTGTCAGCAGTTTGCTGAGTGTACTCTCACAGTGAGAACTTGTAAGACGCTGCTGGATGCCATGAATGACAAGTTACAGAAATCTTTCAGAATCCAGTTTGTGTTTCAGAGGTTTATTCTTCAGGAAGACTGTCGGCCTGTCTCGTGTGTGTTATGGTCCCTGCACACTGTATGATTTCAATTGTATGCATGACAGCTGTGAATATTGCCTGTTGGTGAGCTGGAGGGTCCCTGCAGGCTTTAGAGATGGAGAGACTTTACGTTACAGTGCAGTGGAAGGTGTCCTCTCTTCTCTCAATCTCAAAACCAAACTCTGGGTGACAACAAACCAGGCGGTGTCACAGGTCCTTCTTTAGCAGAAACTTACACTTTCAACTTTATTCCAAAACAGCATGCCATAAATTGTCATAGAATCATAGAATCATTTAGGTTGGAAAAGACCCTTGGGATCATCGAGTCCAACCATCAACCCTACTCTACAAAGTTCTCCCCTACACCATATCCCCCAACACCACATCTAAACAACTCTTAAACACATCCAAGGATGGTGACTCAACCACCTCCCTGGGCAGCCTATTCCAGTGTCCGACCACTCTGTTTGTCATTGTGGACTATTTGTGATGGTAGCACCATTACATTGATTAAACATAGCGCTGTCTGTGTTGACAGACTTCTCCTCCTTTTAATTTCAGTTGGAAGGGAGATTAGGCAGTGACTTGCCTAAATTAAAAGTCTTTTCAGGTACTGAATGTAAATCTTATTTGGCGTTAAACTCTATAAAGAAACCATGTAATTTACGGTTCTTAAGAGCAGAGATGGGAGAAGAGATTCTCCAAAGAGTTTCCATATCCAGTTTGTGTCACTGTATGCTTACTCATGAATTAGAGACTTTGTTGTATATGAAGTGTGTGTATATATATATACATATAAAATTTTAAAGAAACATTTGTCCTTTTGCAGGTGTCCCTGGCATCAAACTTTTCAGCGTGTCGTGTGTACTGGAATCCTGCTGCTACTATGGAGAAAGAAAGTTATGTTGAAAGTGTGCTGCGGAAGAGTGCTCCTCGTATACGGTACTGCTGTGGGGTAAAGAGTTAGACCACTTCATAAATTCATAGCCACGTACTTGTACTCTTTCTTAAGTTATTTCTAACAATCTGTGTCTGATTTAGGTTTTTAGATACTTGGAGTCAGAGCATCTCCTGTGATGAGCCTCACAGGGAAGGGTGGCTGTGTTAGCCCAGCTGTGTGTTTTCCTGCTGAAGCACAGCTGGCTCATTTGGCTTCTGTGCTTTCCTAGGATGGGACTGGGCTGAGCAGAAAGAAAGAGGAGTCTGGATGCAGTCTCACTTTGTTGTACTAATGATGGTGGGCTGGATGTGCTGTGCAAGGCAGTAGGCCAGAGTAGGATGCTGCACAAGAGGACTGGCAATTACAAGATCTCCTTAGCAGATTCACTGGGCAATTCTGATCGCTAGGGACAATTTGGACCACCAGAAGGGATGACTGATATTACAGAAGTTCTTCACAATACTGATACTAAAACATAAATGTGGGGATGCTACCGTGTACTGTGATGCTTTAACCCATTTTTGGCAGAGGGTCCAATGAGTTTTTAGGATATCGCAGAGATTTTTGTCTCTCTTTCTTTCCTTGCCTTACCCTCTGCTATCCAGCAGCTTCCACTCTCCGAGGAGGAGTGTTCCTGGCTGCAAAGAAGACAAGGGGAGCCATGTCAGTCCTTCCTGCAGCTAGCATGTAGGTCTGCTTGTCTTGCCCTGCTGTGAGAGCTCTATCCTCAGCTACTCTCACCCCTACAGTGGGAATAAGGAACCTGAATGAAGTAGGGAAAGACCTGCACCAGCTTGTGCATATAGGAGACAAATCTAATATCGTCAGTACTCAGTGGGATTTGCAGCTAGTGTTTTTTTCTGTGATGTTACACTGTCAGAGTTGGGATTATTTGGAGAATTTGGGTATTGCTTAGCACTAACCTGAAAGAACCATCAGATTGTCAGTTTTGCAAACCATATCCTGAAACTTGCAGTACTGCTGGAATTAATTTAACATATTTTATCTGTCCCGAGTTGCTGTACTGTTACTCACACTGGTAAATGCTGTATTTTTGCCAGGTATCTTCTGATGAGTCAGCAGATTATAGGAAATGTACCTCCAATAGTATTTGTAAAAGACAAAGAAGCTGCAGCTGTAAAAGAGGTAATTGTAATCTGTGTCTCAGTGTGCAAACAATGATATACAAACATGGTGACTTAGCATACCATAATACTTAGGAATACAGAGAGAGCTGATAATTTGATTGCTCTACCAATTTGCATTAAATAACAGAATTTGTCTATACCCTTTCCTTTTCATGTACCAACGTGTTTTAGCAAAGAGTCCTGAGTAAGACTGATGTTTACATACAGTGTAAAAAACTCCTTGTAGCTATTCCCTTATGAACTTTTTTGGATGCTACTATTAACATTTCTGAAGTGAAGTTTTCACAGAAGTTTGTAGGCTAATAAAGAAATCCTAAAAAATGAAATTAAAATTTTAAGGAATAATGCAGACTAGGCAGTTAATCTCTTGCCTGGTATACATGATTATTGAAATGAGGTCTGAGGAGCTGTATTCCGCATTTTAAATGTTATGTGGCTTTAAAATTCCATTGAATCTAATCACTGATATTTATTTTTATTTTTTCACCCCAACCTTTTTCCATCTGTGAGTTGTTTAAATGTTTGTAGGGAAGTGCAGATCTTTGCATGGAAGGTGTAAGCTCACTCATATGATTTCTTTTTTCATGTGTAAAATTATCTGTCTGTCAAGGTGTCGATAGTTTTAATTAGTTGAAGCGTTGCTAGAATAACGATGTTTTATGGGAATTTGCTGTCATTAAGACTGTGAAGTGAGATGTGTTAAATAGTGAGCTTTCTAGAAGAGAGAGATGACACCAGTGAGTGGAATTTCATTAAAAAGGTCTCCTCAAGCTGTTGATGTGAATGGAAAGAACATGAGTTGAAAACAGCGTGTTCATATTTCTGTGCCCTGAAGTGCCTTATTCTTAGATGTGTTACTATTACAACCAATTACTGTTAGTGACTTATGGGCTCATGTGGTGTGTATTAGCAGAGCTGGAAGGGATAACAAGAACTTCAGACTGTCTAGAAATGCAGTGAACTGCTTGAACTTCCTGTGGTCAGAAAAATTTGGAGTTTCATGCCAATATTCTGACCCACAGTGCAAATGTTTTTCACCTGCATTAGCGTCAACAAAAAGCACGAGAATAGAAATGAACTAAACACGCCTGAAAGATGTTTATATTCATTATTGTGCTCCCCTCTAATCAACACAAAAAAATTATGCAACAAGTAATGAGTGATTATGGAAGCACTTTGTCATTACTATTATTAACATACCTAGATGGAGCTACAAATATCTACTCCTGCAGGTCCTGCCTTTCAGGTCTGTTATTGTGGAACCTGTTCCACTAATGACTGTTTCTCAAACTTTGTTAAATGATCACTTACTCTTTTTGAAGAAGAAAACCCCTGAACTACCTTACCTTCAAGTTCAGTGCACAGGCACCAAGAGTTAACCATTTAAGACAAGTAAAAACCCTCCTTTTATAACTTCTGTCAGTGAATGCTCTGGGAACCACTAAGGTGGATCATCTTTTCACACTTCGTGGATCATCAGATTCAAGTAATCCACATATTTGAATAACAGAGCTTGAAATAACATGGCTGAACCTGATTTTTTAGTATTGGAAGACAGGGAAGGAGCATCCAATCCAACTCCTAGAATAATATGCTGAATTAGAAGGGAAGCAATGTAAAGAAAAGTAGGAATAAAAATTCCAAATGAGATAAAATTTTCACAACTAGGTACAGTTTCGAAGCACTGAATATACTAGATTTGTAGCTTTTACTGGTTAGAAGCCACGTTAGAAGGGAGTTTGGAACTCAATATTTACATATAATAGAAATACAAGCTTGCAGAAAGGGGGAAGACGTGAGAAAAAAATCTCAGTGTAAGGGTGTTATGAAAAAAGGATTTGCAAGACTGAAGTAAGACCAAATAAAACAAAAATTACATATGTTACACAATCCCTAGCCAACTGTTCAGAATGTACATGTGGCAAAAAAGCCTTGTAGGAATCCCTGGATCACTTATGCTATTTGACACAAACTTCCCAGGCAAGAAGTATAATCAGTTTCATACAAATGGAGGAAGGGCTATTTTGAAATGGTTTTGCTAAATACTCCAAACATGTAGAAAATAAAATATTTGCTGTTAAATACTTGTCTGTTTCTTGTGTAGGTGTGAGCAAAGTGAATTTAATACAAGACCTTCAATATGTGTTGTTTTCATGTCTTTACAGATTGAGGAATTATTGTCAAGTGCTGATTTTGGACCTCCAGAAGAAGTAGAAACATCTCAAAATGATTCTAGGTGGGTTTTGTGATTAAGAATTTTACAAGAGTCCATTTTCACCTCTCTTGGCCTACTTGAATTGGGTATTATTTGACATGACAGAAAGTGTATTTTAATTAGGTGTATACTTTGCTGTTATCTCAGAGTTCAGCAAATGGTGTTAGGAGGAAACGGAAAGCAGAAGAGGGACTTTTTGGAAGACCTTACTGAAAAGGCATCTCAGCTTTGTGATTAAGAATTTTACAAGAGTCCATTTTCACCTCTCTTGGCCAACTTGAATTGGGTATTATTTGACATGACAGAAAGTGTATTTTAATTAGGTGTATACTTTGCTGTTATCTCAGAGTTCAGCAAATGGTGTTAGGAGGAAACGGAAAGCAGAAGAGGGACTTTTTGGAAGACCTTACTGAAAAGGCATCTCAGCTTTTAAGGAAATCAGTTGGGACCTTTTATTAGCTGAAGAGGCTACAGAATAGCCTAGGACAAAAACTAATAGGTAGTCATCCTAGAAATTAAATGCAGAGGACGGCATTTTATTTTGTGGCTTAACCTTTCTTTACCAAAGTTACACCAGTTTATTAAAACCAAGGGAAACTATTTCTTATTATATATGCTCTATTTTGCTTTCATATTTTAGTGCAGACACATTTTTATAGGCTGTTACGCCATTGATTCTTGTACACAGGTACCTTGCTGCAGACCACAGGTTTGCAAATATGGAAAGGGAAAGCCTGTTTTTGATATCTAATTGGGCCTCTGATGAGCAGTGGAGAATGACTGAATTGTCACTTGTAACAGCACAGTGTGTACGCTTTCAGAGGCAACTGACCCATGAGGTAATATCAGAACACAGTCTTAGAAATCAGCTGTGTTTGTGTCTTAGAAATCAGCTGTGTTCAGTGTCTGTACTCTGAGTGACAGAGTCATCAGACTCTACTTGCAGAACCACTACTTGTTCTGGTATGAGTATCTTTACTTTTACAAGAGAAATTTTTTTAGAATTTCTAAGAATTCAAGACTCAATGTGTTTTTGATAATTAAATTTTTAAACATTCTTTGCAGCAGTAATATTTGTTTCTTGCTGTTAATTTTCTCATGAGGATAAAAGCTCTGCGTTTACTTGGCCACTTTTTTTCTGGTATCAGTTTGGTTTGTTATACAGGAGTTACAAGTTTACTGACAAATATCCTGAAGTTAACAAAAAGTTAATTTAGCATTCTTCTGTGAGGAATTTTTTGGTATTGAGGGATAGGGCTGAACGATCTGTTGGAATGATGATTCTGTGGACCAGTTGCTCTCAAAACCAACGGCTTTGCACTTGTGTGCTGCAGTCTGTTGGTGGAAATGCCTTTTGTGCCTTAATGCCTCACAGGATGGTTCATCAGGTGCAAATAAGAAACAGCTTCTTGGAGGAAATCATTGTGACAGACTAACCTGACATCTTCCTCTGTTTGTGTCTTGTGGAGATGCACAAGTCCAGCTTAAGGTGCCATGTACTGTCATTCATATGTTTGTCTGACATGTTTTGGGCACAGGCTGCTGCTTCTCACTTCTTGGAAAAACTGGGAGAAGTCTAACTTCCTTGGGGCTCCCAGCTCCAGTGCTCACTCTTTGCCTTTTTGCCAGAAACAAGCAGTTTTATCTGGAATGTAGTTGCTTTATTGGCTTCCTCCCATGAAATCTGTTGACAGGCTGACAGGCTTATACACAGCCTGTCCTCGGAGACATGGTACAGTGGTATCTCTTCCTTCTTAACAAAGGGAGCACAATGCTGAACACAGAGCATTAACGAAGTCAAACTGAAAGCCCCAGTTTATTTCTGTGATGTTCAAGTTGTCACGATTAGCATTGCCCCTTAAAATATACACAGGGGAAAAAACCTACAACATTTGTTTTCCTTTCCACAGTAAACTCTCTTCTTCAGCAACTCAGTCTTCGGATTCACCCATGCGGTCTAACCTTTTTGGTATTGATCATGAACTGTTGAATAAGCAGATAATGGACTATAAAAGACTGAAAGTTTCAAGAGATCTAGAAGGCATTGCCTGGACGGAAGAGCAGGAGCAGCAGCTTTCTCAGATTAAAAAGAAAATGAAGAAGAAAAAACTAAGGAATCTTCCTGATGATGACGACATTGCGCCACAGAAATACTTACTGGAGAGATATGAAGGTGATTACTGGAATGATAATACTGAATCGGTCTCGGACTATGACCTGGAGGATGAATTACAGGAAGAGATAGGCTCTTAAGGAGATCAGTTGGGACCTTTTATTAACCGAAGAGGCTATGGAATAGCCTAGGACAAAAACTAATAGGTAGTCATCCTAGAAATTAAATGCAGAGGACGGCATTTTATTTTGTGGCTTAACCTTTCTTTACCAAAGTTACACCAGTTTATTAAAACCAAGGGAAACTATTTCTTATTATATATGCTCTATTTTGCTTTCATATTTTAGTGCAGACACATTTTCATAGGCTGTTACGCCATTGGTTCTTGTACACAGGTACCTTGCTGTAGACCACAGGTGTGCAAATACGGAAAGGGAAAGCCTGTTTTTGATATCTAATTGGGCCTCTGATGAGCAGTGGAGAATGACAGAATTGTCACTTGTAACAGCACAGTGTGTACGCTTTCAGAGGCAACTGACCCATGAGGTGATATCAGAACACAGTCTTAGAAATCAGCTGTGTTCAATGTCTGTACTCTGAGTGACAGAGTCATCAGGTTCACTACTTGCAGAACCACTACTTGTTCTGGTATGAGTATCTTTACTTTTACGAGAGAAATTTTTTTAGAATTTCTAAGAATTCAAGACTCAATGTGGTTTTGATACTTAAATTTTTAAACATTCTTTGCAGCAGTAATATTTGTTTCTTGCTGTTAATTTTCTCATGAGGATAAAAGCTCTGCGTTTACTTGGCCACTTTTTTTCTGGTATCAGTTTGGTTTGTTATACAGGAGTTACAAGTTTACTGACAAATATCCTGAAGTTAACAAAAAGTTAATTTAGCATTCTTCTGTGAGGAATTTTTTGGTATTGAGGGATAGGGCTGAACGATCTGTTGGAATGATGATTCTGTGGACCAGTTGCTCTCAAAACCAACGGCTTTGCACTTGTGTGCTGCAGTCTGTTGGTGGAAATGCCTTTTGTGCCTTAATGCCTCACAGGATGGTTCATCAGGTGCAAATAAGAAACAGCTTCTTGGAGGAAATCATTGTGACAGACTAACCTGACATCTTCCTCTGTTTGTGTCTTGTGGAGATGCACAAGTCCAGCTTAAGGTGCCATGTACTGTCATTCATATGTTTGTCTGACATGTTTTGGGCACAGGCTGCTGCTTCTCACTTCTTGGAAAAACTGGGAGAAGTCTAACTTCCTTGGGGCTCCCAGCTCCAGTGCTCACTCTTTGCCTTTTTGCCAGAAACAAGCAGTTTTATCTGGAATGTAGTTGCTTTATTGGCTTCCTCCCATGAAATCTGTTGACAGGCTGACAGGCTTATACACAGCCTGTCCTCGGAGACATGGTACAGTGGTATCTCTTCCTTCTTAACAAAGGGAGCACAATGCTGAACACAGAGCATTAACGAAGTCAAACTGAAAGCCCCAGTTTATTTCTGTGATGTTCAAGTTGTCACGATTAGCATTGCCCCTTAAAATATACACAGGGGAAAAAACCTACAACATTTGTTTTCCTTTCCACAGTAAACTCTCTTCTTCAGCAACTCAGTCTTCGGATTCACCCATGCGGTCTAACCTTTTTGGTATTGATCATGAACTGTTGAATAAGCAGATAATGGACTATAAAAGACTGAAAGTTTCAAGAGATCTAGAAGGCATTGCCTGGACGGAAGAGCAGGAGCAGCAGCTTTCTCAGATTAAAAAGAAAATGAAGAAGAAAAAACTAAGGAATCTTCCTGATGATGACGACATTGCGCCACAGAAATACTTACTGGAGAGATATGAAGGTGATTACTGGAATGATAATACTGAATCGGTCTCGGACTATGACCTGGAGGATGAATTACAGGAAGAGATAAATGAATTGGAGGCAGATGATGGCAAAACTCTAAGCCAGCCTACTGAGAAACTGAACTGAACTGAAAAACTCACTCCCTTCAAAATGGAGGCTGCCAATAGCAAAAAAAGACGACTGCCATAGATACTGAAAGATTAATTTGGTACAGACTTACCACTTCCTCTTTCAGACTAATAGGTTTGCCACACGTGGGGAGGTTTGCTAGCACAAGGTATGTAAGAAGAACAAAAGTGCTATTTGTGACATTCTGTTAAGTAGCTTTCAAGCTGCTGCAATTGTAGGACTTTCAACCAGAGCAGTTTTCTAATAAGAAAACATACATAGTGCAGCACTGAGTTAAAAATTCTTGCAGCTCAAATTTCAAATAAAATTATGGTTTCTGTGTTGAAATACATTTTTAAAAATTTTTTTTTTGAGTCATCTGGATAAAAATAATCGCAAAGTGATGGTGTCAGTTATTCTAAGGTCAGGAAGGAAGAGGAAAGCAAAATAATGATAGTGGCTTTCAAAGAGCAGCCTTCAGCAGACAAAGACCAGGACAGAGTGTCTTCTAGGGAACCTAGTCTTAATGGGGGAACTCTTTCCACAAGAAGGTGAATAAAGTTAAAACCTTGAAGAAAAAAAAAAAAGTATTTATTTTAATATTCAGAAATTTACAGTTGTGCCAGGGGAACTGCAAACAGGAAAGAATGGAGAACTACTCATCTGTTGGGTAAAACTGGGCAAAGCATTGACCGTGACTGAAAAAATGTATTAAAAACTCAAAGGCGGAGAAAAAGCAGCAGGCAAGCAGGATGCAGGAACAACCACAAAACCACGGATGGAATGGAAGGAGTAAATTTATTTTTGTTACTTTGCCAGCCGGGGGATCCCTGGAGCAGCACCGGGGCAGAAGCACGCGAGCGAGACCACAGCCACCACTGAGCTTGGTCCATGCTAGAGGATGGCTGACCATGCAGGTTGTGCCTCTGTATCGGGGATTCATAGAATCATAGAATGGTTGGGGTTGGAAGGGACCTCAAAGATCATCGAGTTCCAACCCCCCTGCCCTGGGCAGGGACACCTCCCACCAGACCAGGTTGCTCAAGGCCACATCCAGCCTGGCCTTGAACCCCTCCAGGGATGGGGCAGCCACAGCTTCCCTGGGCAACCTGTTCCAGTGCCTCACCACCCTCATAGTAAAAAATTTCTTTCTGATATCTAATCTGAATCATTTTTCTTCCAATTTAAAACCGTTTCCCCTTGTCCTATCATTACACCTCCTGGCAAAGAGTCCCTCCCCAGCCCTTCTACAGGCCCCCTTCAGTGTGCATAAAGTCAGAAGGGCTGAAGCTTCAAAATAAGTTATAACTAGCAAGGTAGTAAAAAGGAATTCGACCAGAAATAAGGAACATTTAATTCCATTAGTTAATGGGGAAGAAAAGAAAGACAATGTAGGGGAAGTTGCACTACAGTATGTTGCTCTAGTTTTTCAAAAATATTTTAAAAGACAGCCAGTATAAGCTCCAGAATATAGCAAATACTCTGAAGGATTTTTAGGTTAGAGGACGGCATTCAGATCAGCAAAGAACACTGAAATTTGCTACAGGTTATTTAATAATCCCCTTGAAGCATATTCTGAAGATTTATTGCCTTTAAGAACATAGAGAGGATATGGGCTATGCGTGTCTGTAAGATTTTCCTGTAAGCCGTTTAGAGCTTGTATTGGATAAGGCTCAGGATCTCAGAAAGTGTGCATCACACTTACTGGGATACACGTTGAAGCTGTAGCTCACATTAGTACTTGCCTAACTTGGAGTAGGTGAAAAATCCCACAGCATGCCTTGTTCAGTCTTTCCAGGAGTTCTTCCTAAATTCCACAGGACGGAGACACACTTTTAAATAGATGCTTTCCTTTGTTTTCCAGTGAATGAAGGTATTTATTGTGTCAGAAACCGTTCATGTGCAGAATCATGTGCTGTAAATCAAAGGTAGCCATGAATGTGTTGCAACTTGACAACAAAGCTCTTAACTTTTGAATCACAGAATCACAGAATCTTCTAGGTTGGAAGGGACCTTAAAGATCATCTTGTCCAACCGTCAACCTCACTGACAAAAATAGACACCCACACAACAAACAAGGAGCATCATCACTAAACCATACCTCCCAGCACTACATCAACCCGTCTTTTGAACACCTCCAGGGATGGTGCCTCAACCACCTCCCTGGGCAGCCCATTCCAATGGCTGATAACCCTTTCAGTGAAAAAATTTTTCCTAATATCCAGCCTGAACCTCCCCTGGCGCAACTTGAGGCCATTTCCTCTTGTCCTGTC